TTGACTGTTGGAAGTGACTTGTCAAATTCCAATGTTAGATTATAACAATCCATAGTGTGTAGTAACTGTTAAATGTTATCCTAAGGCCACACCTATTTAATTTGCTGTTTCTTGGATTTTTTTCAGAAAAAATATGGTGCGACAGGGTGAAATAAAATTAAAAAAAAGGCCAAGGCACCCCATGGTAGTCAGAAATGTTACAATATGAGCCATGAAGTGAACAATTACCAGGATGGTTTCTAATTACAATAGATTTTGAACTTTTTATGAAACAAAATTGCACTGTTACATTCAAAAACTTTAACAACTAGGAAGAAAAGGACTTTCTTCAACCATTGGGGCCAAAATATGCATGTTTTTCATTGAGCATTATGCAGTTGATTTAGAACAATTTTTTTTTGCAAATCAGAAAATAATGGACAGGGCAAATCTGAGAAACAACAAATTGAATTGGTGTGGCCTCACTGACCATTTCCCAACCAAGAGCAAGGAGTGTGTGTTTTGTCATTCTGTGAAACTTAAGTTAAATTTAAGTTTGAAAATCTAGTGTAGCAGCACGAAGTACTGCAGAAACTTTCAATGAAAACGTTATATATAATTATCACATTTTCAAACAATACATAGTCATCATCACTGCCAATTAAGAAATTTGTCAAAGTAAAAGTTAGCATCACACCAGTAATGCCAATACCAGCAATAGTTTTCCTTATTTTTGTAATTGTGATACGGTTACTAGTCATGAATCTGTAATAGTTTTTATTATCAATGATGATGGTTGTTTATGAATTGTTGTATTTCAATGCTGTAGTATTTCAATGTTGTTGTATATCTTGGAATCCAGAAGAGTAGTAGCATATACATTGTAAATGTCCCCCCACTAAATGGCTAATATCTGAATAAAATACTGTCTTTCACATCATTTCTACTTTCAGTTTGCTATACATGTATTAGCTCATCTACGTGTAAGGTTGCTGAGATATGATAGGTCTTCAGAAGCAAAACTGAAACTTTAAAATGAAACCGCAAGGCACGGGATCCTCACATCTGCTTGGTTTTGAAGATTGACCATGTGCTACGGTAATATTCGAGAAATATCACTCATTTTTACCATAATATAACCCTTCTTTTTGATATATTGGCCTTTGAAACACAAACAAAAGCGTTGAAAAAATATAATGTGTATAACTGTAAAATTAAACCGGAACGCATGAGATGTAAATGAATAAGTGGGATCCCTACATCTGCTTGGTTTTGAGGATTGACCATGTGCTAATGTTTGAGAAATATCGCTCATTTTTATCATAACATAACCCTTCTTTTTGATATATTGGCCTTTGAAACACCCACAAAAGCGCTGAAAACAATATACTGTCTATAACTTTGAAATTAAACCGGAAGGCATGGAATGTAAAAGAATAAGCCGGATCCTCACATCTGCTTGGTTTTGAGGATTGGCCATGTGCTAATGTTTGAGAAACATCGCTCATTTTTACCATAATGTAACTCTTCTTTCGGATATATTGGCCTTTGAAACACCCACAAAAGTGTTGAAAAAATATAATGTGTCACTCACCTTTCAATTTGGCCGTTAAACGTCTTTCAAGGACGGTTTTTGTGGAGAACTTGTCTTGAAGTCAACCGCCGGCCACCATCTTGCCTGGTTTGGAATGCCAGCCACACCCTGTGTAACACGTGGTACTTCAACCACCTGTTGATCATTTCATTCCGATAATGGCATCAGCTTTTACATCGTCAAATATTGTTTAGTTTACTCCAAAGTCCCCCACTAAATTAATGAAAGCCTTAACACTTTATGGAAGTCTGAAAGCGCCGATTTCTTGTCTTAAAGTTAACGTTAATAAGCTACAAATAATAAACAACCATTACCTTACTGTTCCAGACAGTTAGAAACCCTGCTTCTATTTTTCTAACACATCTTTTCTCGGTAAAGGTCCTTTCTCTTAAGTCGAAACCCTTTCAATTATAGATCTAGTTCCCTAAATTACCATTTCAGGGAAACACGTAGCACGTCTGACAATTTGAGGCAATAGTATCGAAATCGCCATGGATCAAAAGCGCCCTCACAGCGGCAAAAGAAATCACTGCAGTGCTAGGAGCAACAGTTTGACGCGTCTGGTATCGAAATCGCCATGGATCAAAAGCGCCCTCACAGCGGCGAAAAAAATCACTGCAGTAAAAGGTACAATAGCTTGACGCTACTTTCCAAGCAGAGGTTTGGGTTTGGAGTTATTTTTGGCGTGTTTTTAGGCTTCTTTTATCGGGGTTTCTCCTTTGCGCTGGAAAAACACCCAAGGTTGGGTGAAAAAAAAATCCAGTGCAAAAGCAAAAGAGAAACCCCGATAAAAAGCCTAAAAACACGCCAAAAATAACCCCAAACCTCTGCTTGAAGAGTAGCTTGACGCGGCTGGCATCCAAATCGCCGTGGATCAAAAGCGCCCTCACAGCGGCGAAAAAAATCACTGCAGTGATAGGAGCAGCTTAGCCGGCCCTGCCGCTACATCTCTATGGTTGTATAGCCCAGTCAAAAGCTAAATACACTGTAATTTGACAAATTACACTGTATTTTTGACCGAAAACAGTGTATTACAAAGAAAACAGTGTATTGCAGGCAGATTACACTGTAATAGACAAATACGGCGTTTGTAAGACAGAATACAGTGTATCTGAGGAATCCACTGTATCGTGTACTGTAAACGCGTGTACTGTAAACGCGTGTACTGTAAACGCGTGTACTGTAAACGCGTGTACTGTAAACGCGTGTGGTGTAAACGCGTGTGGTGTAAACGCGTGTACTGTAAACGCGTGTACTGTAAACGCGTGTACTGTAAACGCGTGTACTGTAAACGCGTGTGGTGTAAACGCGTTTACAGTAAACGCGTAAACGCGACATCGGGCTAATGCAACAGTGTCTTTATCTGTTTGTCGATCAGTATATTCAGTGTTTTACCCAGGCGGCCAGACTCGTATTAGTCGTAAGGCGACGGGCGGAGAGTTTACGCGCGCGCCTTCGGGCCTTGGGTAGCCGTCCCCGACTCCACGCCCTCCCCGCACACCGCTGCGCATCAGACGGGCAAACCCTCCAGACCGCGCTAGCGTGCTGTACCCTGAGGGTTTCACCCTCTCTCGGCGGCAAAACGCACGTCGCTCCCCGAAAAAAATTAACGCCGCCGCCCCACAAGTCTGCGAAGCAGGCTAGCTGTGCCCTCCGCTACTAAGGTCTGCCGCCTCAACGAGGCACAGCGAGGGAGACCGTGAGTCGGGGACGGGCTCCCCAAGGCCCGAACGCGCGCGCGTGAACTCTCCGTCCGCCGCCCTACGCACGCCGCCGGACTGGCATCGGGCCGGCCAACTCCCCTCGGGATCAACTCCCCCGCGATAGGCGAGCGAAGGGCTCTTGGCTGCCGAAGAAAAACGGCTAACGGCCCGATACTAGTCTGGCTTCCGAAGTAGGAGGCCGTGAGTCGGGGACGGGCTACCCAAGGCCCGAACGGCGCGTAAACTCTCCGCCCGAACGTAGGGAGAGCACCCCGATCAAACTCCTTTCACCGGCCGTATCCGGAAATTCAAGCCGTACCCGCTCAAAAATTCTGGCCGTACCCGGAAATTCGTGCTGTACTCGCGAAAATTTCAAGCCGTACCCGGTAATTCGTGCCGTACCCTGTACTTTTTCGCCGTTCCCGATGGACATCTCCGGCACCTGTTCCGGCCCTGCCGCTACATCTCCGGCCCTGCCGCTTCACCTCCGGCCCTGCCGCTACCACCCCATGCAAATTTCCGTCTCGTATTAAGGCGACGACCGTTCTGAGAAAAGGCGACGACCGTTCGGAAAGGCGACGACCGTTCTGAGAAAAGGCGACGACCGTACGTAAAGGCGACGACCGTTCTGAGAAAAGGCGACGACCGTTCGGAAAGGCGACGACCGTTTACGAGACGGAAATTTGCGGCGTCGGCCGCACGGTCTCTGGAAAACTGACAGTTCTGCAAACTAGGAGACCGTGACCGGACCGAAAAATTAATATAAAACTTCAACATACGGCTTTTGTCTTCGGTGACATTTGTCGATGATTAAAAACGTACGACAGGGCTGCTCAAAACTTATTGAAAGTACTCAGCATTTTCTTGAAAAGTTGAAATTTGTGCTTGGAGCGGGTAAAAATTATAACCCCCAAGAGACCCTAATTTGGGACTTTGCAAACCGGAAGTGTAAAAAGAGGCGTGTCGTTGTTAATTGGAGATTTCAGCCACTCGCGGATTTCGGCGATTTGGGAATGGGCAAACGCCAGAGGCTCGTAAGGGGGTTTCAAGTTTTTACAAAAAAATTCATATTATGACTTTGCAAAATTGTTTACATGCCTGAAACCAATAATTTTATTTTTTGTAGGCTTTGAGAAAGATATTAAGAGACAAGTTATAAAAATTTACGTGTTTCTTGGGGCTAGAAAAATATTTCATTTTTAGACTGATTTTCACATTTATACTTCTTGGGTTTAATTCTGTTTGCGAAATAAATGTATGGATACAAAGAATGACTCATTTTACACATAATACTACATTGTTTTTGTAAACTGAACCATTTTTTAAACGTTTTGTACCTATTTATATACAGCAACCTGGTGATAATATACTGACCCGGCCTAATCCATTATGAGACCTTTGTTTCACACTTTGATTGGCAGAATTTATGTCTGACGTTTCCCAATTACCACTACCGTGGGTTAATAACCTTGAAATGTGCTCCTCTGTTCAAGAACGGCTTCTTTCTGCCGACTAACTCCATGTCGTGTTCCCGCCATGTTTAATATTGGGCTTATCTCATCTCCAAGCAGATGTTTGGAGGCTATTGAAATTGAAAAAGTCTAATTTTTTTTATTTATAGCTGTAGAGGCCTTCATCCTGGCTTAATGCACGGCACTACTTTGTTTGTTTGTTTGTTTTCCATGCTAATAAATAAATAAATAAATTCACAGGCATCATCTCCAAGAAGCTACCTTTAATACCAAAGATAGAACCTGCTGAAACATAACCACACAAAAAGCAATGATCATGATATGAATACACAATGCCATTATCATGCTACAGGAACAATGAACTTGTGGTTGTGATCATGAACTTTAGGTTCACATTTTCGAAGCTGAAAATAGCAAAGTGTGGTAGTCAATTAAATATTTTGCTTTCAATGCAGATCATATTCTCACCTTTTTTGATAATGCAAAATGTGCAAAATGCGGTGCTTGGCTCTACAACTTTCATTAGAAAGTAGAATATAACTAATTGTAATATGTACACACTCTTTAAAAGCTTGCCAGAAAAACAACTACTATGCATGTTTCCACATTGAATTTCCCTTTTCAAATTACAAAAAGCCTGAGGTATTTAGTGAATCAAGTACAATCAAGGTTTCAAACCTACAAAATAAGCAGAAAATAACCTGGTTCAAGCTTCCTAGGTTGTAAGCAGTTTTTGTCTAGTACAAAATAAAAGTTTGTTAATATCTAGACACATTTTCCTTATGTCTTTGTGGCCTTCATCTTTGAATTATTACGCACAATGCATCACCTCAAAACGTTGGCTCTGAAAAACCCCATACATTCTGCAGTCCACAAAGATGTCATGTATATCTCCAAACACATTGCATTTTGCTCATTGACAAACATTTGTATAAAAAAAAGGAACAAATAAGTAATATTTTCTGAAAAGCAACGAAATACATGTAACAGCTAATATTGTAGGCATAGTCTTAGTTAGGAAGCCAGCAACACACTAGAAACTATTCCTAAGATATGCTAAAACCATACACTTGATTCTTGATCATTTAGTTAACTTGGAAGCACTTGTTTTTAACATTGCTACTAGGGACAAAGCCCTAATCATTGCTAAACAAACTTTATTAGATATGTATTGAATTACTCTTGCTTCTTTAATCAACCGTCTTATTGCTTCTGTTAATTTTCTCTACTTGTATCACACCAATTTTGAATCAAACAAAATCTATACACCTTTCCACGGACTTCATTTTTGTCAGTAGTCAAGATTTGGTAAGTTATATACAGGCTTGCAAACTGATCTTCAAGCATAAAAAACACACCCAATTCAAGCATAAAACACAAGCTCCTCATTTCAATAGTTACAAGTCATTTTGTATTCAAAAGTTTCTACACCTAGACTTTACGAAGCACATTGCTGAGACAGCTACAAAATGATAAGAAATCAAAAAATACATTCTTCTGCTGTTTTAAAGCCCTTATGACAGAAAAAAAGACAAATATTGCCTTATATTTGGGAAAAGTTTTTGGACCGTTTCATTGCTTGCACTAAGATGCCCTCTTCTCTAAGACTTCTTGGATTTCTTCCTTAAGCCCGTCTCCCATGCCGCTGTTTCCCTCGTGTAGCTTCATCTCCAGAATCGAGCTGTTCTTTTCCAACATCTGTACCAGCTTCCGCCCGCCTCCAAACCCGATGTTGTTCCCTTCCAAGTCCACGGTCTGCAGCGTCTTGTTTTCAGACAAACCTTCCACCAACATGGACGCTTCGATGTTCGTCATCTCGCAGTAATCAAGATGGAGAGCCTTAACCGTCGTGTTGCTCTTCAGCGCGCTGGCGATCTTCTTCCAGCCGTCCGCAGAAATGCCCTTGTTGCCAGTCAGCATCAGAACCCGCGGGCCGCAATCGTGTTCGAGAAGACGAGACAAACTTTCCGCTCCGCTGTCGCCAAAGCCGCAGTCTCCAAGGTCAAGCTGCTGCAGGATGTATGGTGCTTTGCCCTTTGACCCTTCAACTTTCCCCTCATCTTGACCCTCAGATTTCCCAGCATCCTCAGAAGAAGAATCATCCTCATCTTCATCTTCCTCGTCATCACTCGGATTTTCGTCTTTTTCTTCTTCTTTTGCTTCCTCTGTTTTCTGTTCTTCTGGAGATGCAGATTCTGATGTTGATTTGTCATCTTTCTCCTCTTCAGCATCACTTGGATTCTCATCCTTTTCCTCTTCCTTCTTTCCCTCCTTCTCTCCGCCTTCTGGCTCTTTTTCTTCCTCTTCTTTTTTGTCAGCGCCAGTGTCCTCTGGTTGGTCAGACTTTTCTGATGCGGCAGTTTCTGGTTGGTCAGGCTGCTCTGATGTTGCAGGCTCTGGTTGGTCAGGCTGCTCTGATGTGGCAGCCTCTGGTTGGTCAGACTTTTCTGATGTGGCAGGTTCTGGTTGGTCAGACTTTTCTGATGTGGCAGGCTCTGGTTGGTCAGGTTGTGGTGATGTGGCAGGCTCTGATTGGTCTGCCTTGGACGAGTCATAGATGGAGATGAGGCCATCTGCGATAGTCGTCACACCCTCATCACCAAGGGGGTTACCATGGAGGCTGCAGAAAAACACAGGAGCACAATTTTTCAAAACATATAATTTTTGTGATCTAAACTGAAATCTATTGCAGGAAATGAAACTGTAAATCTTTTATCCACTAAGTTGTATTCATCTGTTTCCTACTTACAGTAGAACCTCTATGGAAGGTTTAGTCCTCAGGGTGTCCACAACAGAAGCTGCTCCCTCAGGACCAACTTTGTTCAGGTTGAAGTTCAGCATCTGTGGATACAAGAAAAATGCAAATTTGTTTTAACCATTGCAACATAAAACAAAAAAAGAAAATTTCAGCTGAAAATGGAATCATGCAGCATATCAGTAGTGTCATGTTTTCTTTATGATATGTTTATGGCAATCTCTTTCACCAACCCTATTAAAAATGCACAAAAACTATGTGAATAAATAATAAAAAATTATATGATGTTCTGACCTTAATAGAGGCTGGGGACTTCTTGACGGCATCACAGAGTTTCTGAGCGTTGGCATCGTCGACCGAACCATTCCTCATGACGAGGGAGGACAGCATGTCACTTTTCTCCATCAGGGACACCAGCTCATCAACCTGGAGGCAAGCAGAAAAAAAATTATTTTTTAAGAAGTTTGCTCAACAGTGCGGCCTGCCAGGGATTTGAACCCAGAACCTTCGGATTCTGAGTCAACGACCTAAACAACAACTTGAGACAGATTGCCACTAAAAGAAACGTCTGACGTTTTCAAAATCATATCCAGTTGCTAGAATAACTGCTTTTTGGCGTATCGTATTACCTGGATGTCTAACCTTCATCGACGTGCCACTAAAAGACTTCTCAAAATATTCATGATAGCATAACCCAAAACATTTCAATCAGTGGCTTACAGTGAGTCTTGTTTTGTGGTGAACTGAAATAAAACGAAGTCTAACCTGTTCTTGGTCCAGCCTGTACCCTGATAGGTCGGCCTCTGTCTTGTTCTCGACCAATGGAGCGAGAGGATCCGTCAGCTCGACACTCCGCGCCGACTCCGGCTGACTTTGCACCTCATCCTTCTCTTCAGCTGAAGAAATTCAGACAAATTTTTTATTGTATATGAAATCTGAGATGCATGTATACTTTAATCTTCTCTGTGCTGCCTAACCCCATACTTACTTGTACTTGTACTTGTTGAGGTCTCCTCGAGTCAGTCGTTCGAGTGGCCTGCGCACAGAACTCGTCTCTTCCTCAACAGTCTCCTCCATTTCTTCCTATCTCTTGCTAATTCCTTAAGCTCTTCTAGACTGATACTAGGCTGAGACTGATACTAACCCCATAACCAGTGTACAAATTTGGTGCAAAAACAACGACCATAGCAAGCTGAAGGTTAGATTCTGAGGCTGTCTTCTCCTAACTTACTGTGCATGACATGTTAACTTCTTAATATCATAGTGATTTTACCATCAAGTGGCTTCATTTTGAAGATGCTAGCAATTTCGGTAACTCTTTTTTCTGACATGCCAACTCTACAGTATGTCATACATACATGGCTGTCAATTTCAATTTTCCCCAGCTGAAATTGTCACTCAAAAAATTCAAAATTACCATTGAAAGTTCACATCTTACCTTAAACTCAAAGTTTTCATAAATAATAAGTCTGTCAATATACAGAGAACATAGGAAACTGTTTCCTTAAAGAAAGTATCAGATTCTATTTGCCTTCGACTGAAGGCTATGCCTTCGGAGAAGGTTATGAAATCGGGTTTGCACTGTTTGGCAGATTAGGCACGATAACTCTTGAAGGCAAGGTCCGAGGTTCACGATTTTTGGCAGGCAGGTTGATTTAGGGGTGGCCATTGTCAAGGCTAAAAATGGGCTTCGTGGGGGGTTCCTAAGTCACTGTAGTTGACCTTGGTTTTTGGTGTTTTTTCCTTGTCATCAAGATATCTCGAGAATCCTTAAATGGATGTTCATTATTTTTAGTGGGCAAGTTACCGTTGAAAATGCCGAGGTCAAGTTCAAAGATGGGCCCCGTGGGGGTTTCTATGTCACTGCAGTTGACCTTTGTTTTTTGTGTTTTTTCTTGTCATCAAGATAACTCGAGAATCTTTAAATGGATGTTCATGTTTTTTAGTTGGCAAGTTACCATTGACAATACCAAGGTCAAGTTCGGATATGGGCTTCGTGGGGGGTCCCACGTCATTGAATTAGAAGGTACTGCAGCGAAACTTCTGGTTTTAAATCTCGTGATATGGACGTGCTAGGGTCATGATTTTTAGATGGTAGGTAGCTCTCGTGCTCAGAAAGAAGTGCCGTAAGTTTGGGCCCCGTAGCAGCTTGTTTGGGAAATGCAGAGGCATTTGTTTGAAAATGTTTGAAGTAGGATAGCTCAAGAAACGGTTGACGAATTGTTGTTATTTTTGATATCTCGGTAGCTTAAGTGATGCTTGACCTAATTAGATGACGATTATGCAAATCACGATCTAATTTTCATAATTAATGACAAAAGTCTATAAATCTGCTACGTTCCATGATAGAACAATTAAAATGGTGGCATATTTAATCAAGAGGAAGAGGAACATTGACAGATATTAATTATGTAAATTGTGACCCAATTTGATTAATTAATAAGAGAAATCTATATGTCTTTCATACTGCACTAGACCTTTTTGTTTCCACCCTCTGTGGATTACATTGATTTATGCCCACAAGGATAGCTGGAAAAAACTTTACCTGTTGTTGAAACAACAGAATCCTTGCGAAATTGGCGAAAGTGGCGCTTAATGCTGCATTAATACTGAAAGTTTTAATACTGGGTTAATGCTGGGTTAACGACTCGGCCAGCCTTCAAACACACATAGATACATCATTCATAATGTACAATGTAGAAAAGGCAATCTTTCTTTTTATTAATGTTTGTTTACATGTACTGGAGCAACTGCATAACTCTTGTAAAATTTGTGAACCCTGACACAAGACTGCACAAATGTATGTGCTAATGTTGTAGGGAATACAGGAAACCTATTCATATCTAGGTTAAAACAACAAGTTACAGACAGGAAGCTGTCAACATTGGTTTTAGTTGAAAAAACGTTTTCTTTGAAATTGTTTGTTGAAAAAACATTAGTGGCCCAGTGCCCCAGCAGAGCGTGTCTTTATTTGTCAGGTCCGTCGGCCCCCAGTGTGAACATCTGGAATTAGCCTGGTTGCCAGACCCATAGCACACTGGACACAAAGTATCACAGTGCTCACTGAGTCTACTTTGTGTCCAGTGTGCTATGGGTTTGGCACCCAGGCAAATCTGGAATATGCATAATGTGAATAGGTTTCCTGTATTCCCTACAACATTAGCATGTACATTTGTGCAGTCTTGTGTAGTACATTTGTGCATATCGTATCGTATTATGCAACAGAAGTTGAAGATTTAAACCCGATATAAGGTCACAAACTTTGTTTTAATCGAGAACATTGTTGGTATACTGTACACAATGGCCAGGTCACTAGAATAAGGTGGTCTGAACGCATTGAACAGTATCTAATCTTTATTAAGCTTTGTTGCTTTAGCGAGGAGCACGGCGGTATTCTATGAATGACTTTGAGTTTGATGCCTGTAATCTTCTTCATAATGGGTCGTGTGGAGAGGGAATAGAGAAGCTCTGCCTTGAAAGGATAGATTTTCACGACCATATTATGGTCCGGTGGGCCCCCACAAGAAAACTAACATAGCCAAACTGCGTCGCCAACCTGAGAAATAACCAGTAAATAACTACCAGCTCAAAAATTGAAGATTGTTAAATTGCAACTAGGATACATATTTTATTTGAATTCTATCCTGGATAAATTGCATTGACAGGATAGACTGGGACGGTTAGGTAGGTCACCCGAGGCTGTCACCTCAGCCCTGCCAGTCGTACCTCTGGGGACGTCCCCGGAGGACCTGGGCTAATCTATACCACCATCCGGGCTGGTATAGAAAGTCGGGCTGTTTCCTGCTAAAAGTTTGATACGACGGTCCCTCTAACAAGTAAGGCACAATGAGTGTCTCCTTGTGGGGGAAGATTAACTTTCTACCAGGCACCATGGATCGCTGGAAAAATAGTAGAAAACGGCCAAAAAAAGGGAATAGTTTGCCGCTAAAGGGTCAGTTAGCCCGCTAGAGAGATGCAACTCACCGGAAGGAACCCATTTATCTTACATACCACATACCATCACAACAATTGGCCAGTTTGTGTGATTTTGTAGTGCAATTGTTTTCAATGTATTGGACATCGCACGCTTCAACAACACTGGCTGCATAGAAGAAGAATTTAGTTGAAGGAGCTTTTGCCGTTTTGAAGTTTGGATCACCGCGTATCGGAGGGAAGAAAACAACTTTTCGCGGCCAGACTCCCCAGGCCTATTCTCCTCTCCTTTTTGCCGAATTCTACGATCCGTAGTTCCGTAGAAAGACATGGTACAGGCTTGGGAAATAGTCTGTTGCTTCGTTCACAAAAAGACTCTCTGGCCACTATAACTATCATCTTCAAAAAAACCTACACTATACACACACACAACACCCACCAAAACAATATCACACTGTCGAAGGCATGAGACCTCCGAACTCTAGTTCTTAAAGAAAAGGAGCTTTTTTTAAGGTCTTACCTGTGGCATCAGCCTCTTTGCTGTCCCCTTGGCCTGACTCAGCCTCACTCTCCTTCCCGGGACTCTCCTCCTCCTTCTCACTCTCCTTCCCAGAGTCCTCATTGTCAGACTCATCATCATCATCGCTCAGCTCCACCTCTGATTGGTGGGAAGTTTCCTTGGTTGCCTCGGCGATGGCTTCTGTTATACTCTCTTTAGTGGACCCTGAGAAAAATAACCATACATTATAAAAGTCCTTCAATGGGATATGAAACAAAAGAGCATTTTTTTGGAAAGATAGGAAACTATATCATGATAAAACAAATTATTGAAACAACAAACAACTCTTGAATAAAAGAAAAATGGTGAAGTATGAAAATACTGTGCAAATAACAGAATGATGTAAAAGTACTAGCTATAGCATGTCTCTGTTGCAGTCAATTCAATACATGGCAGGAGTAGGCTGTGTGTGGATGTGTGCTATCACACATACATGTAGTACTAATACATGTAGTAGCAATAATGTGTCACATACTTCACTGGCATGTGGTCTACTCCAAACTACATGTACCTGGTCATGCCTACATGTACATGTAGAAAATGTAAGCTCTACTTGGCTTTTGCCATGCTGGTTGGAAGTATCTAATGAATAAAAGTCATACTACAAATAAGCATTGTGTTCAGTGTATGCTGTTGTAGTAGCAGTGAAGAATCAAGAAAAGTATAATTTTCTCTGAACAAGATTGACATTTTTATTGTTTAGAATGTAGTTACTAAACTCACCACCAGTCTCCTCATCCTTTTCACTCTCGGCTTTTTCTGTACTTGTCTGTGACTCTGCTCCGTCATACATCCCTCGACCATCCTTTTTCTCGCTTGCTTCCGACTCTGCCTTCTCGGATTCTCCAGCCTCTGATTTGTCAGCCACAGATTCGGGTTTGTCCTTCTCAGAGTCTGCTTTCGGGACTTCTGGCTCCGTATTCTCGGCCACAGATTCAGATTTTTGTGACGCGTTGTCGTCTTTGTCTTCCGCAGATTTCTCTGACTTCACGCTCTCTGCTTTTTCCGACTTGTCGCTATCGGATTTTCCGCTCTCTTTTTCTGATGCGACACTTTCCGCTTTCTCCTCTTCACTCTCTGTCTTCTCTGTGTGCACACTCTCTGCTTTGTCTTCCTGGCTTTCTGGCTTTTCGGACCGAACGCTTTCCGCTTTTTCCGACTGCATGCTTTCTGTCTTCACGCTCTCGGCCTTCTCGAGCTCAACGCTTTCGGGGACGCTCTCTGCTTCTGAGGAACTTGCTTTTGCGACTTCCTCTGGTGGAATCTCTTCTACGACCTCTTCTTGGACGGATTCGGTTTTCTCCGCTGGTTTGTCAACTTCATCCTCGATTTCAGAGTCAGAATCTGAAGAAGATGATGATGATGAGCTTGATGATGATGATGATGACCTTCTCTCAGTCTTACTCCCTGTCAAGGTCAAAGGAAATATAGAACGTCAGTGAGTGACAAAAAGGTCAAAGCAACAAATACCTAGCAGTAACTGCATTTTACAAACATTAGACTTAAAAACAAACTAAAAACATAGTTACTGTAATGCATCAAGCATTGAATGGAAAATCACCAGAATATTGTATCAGGCCACATAAACTTGATTAAATGATCCATGAAAAAAGTTGAGGCCTAACAGATAAATGTTTCGTGCCTTACAAAACACTATTAGTAAAACACTCACCTGCAATTTTACCACCCTGTTCTAAACCATGACACTATATAAAACGTTGTTTTGTATTTTCCCGAAAATCAGGTCAACATAAGCTGCCAAGAAGTGAAAAACAACAACTTCAAAACATCCTACAAACCACAATTCCTATTTCTAAAGAAAGATGACTGACTCGAAACAAAACCATGAAGTGTGCAACGACAAGTGCATTAGATCTACACCCCTAGGATACGGTAGGACGATCCACATTTGACATGCAGGTGGTTGTGGGACCAGTCCACTCAACATACACCACAAGGGGTGACCAGAAGAGAGATGTGCAAGGAGAAAAATATGAAAACACTACTACATGCACAAGAACAACATCCTTAAGGAAGAAAAAAGCCTTACGTCAAGTCATCAGGTCAGAAAATAACAGGAACGGTGCTCCAAGAAACCCTCAGAGGCAAAAGTTACCCCTCCAAGTCAAGAAAGCTCAACAACATTAAAATCATTGGCTGCATGAAGTGTGCATGTATTTACACTGTACAAATGCGTACAAGACTTGAAGAGACTTTATTCAGTAAAAGAACAATTAAAGGAATCACAGATGTCTAAAGAGGGTACCGGAGTAACTGTTGCTATTTTGAGGCCAAGAACGGGCAAGATAGTTATATCATTCTATGCATGATTACAAATTGATTGAACTCATTGTCATTCAATTCATCCACCAAAAAGATTACAGACTTTGTATCATGCTATTAGCACATGTACAGACGGCAAGATCAACTTGTCAAGAAACTGGCAATGCGGCAAATTAACCCTTCAGAGCTTAATATTAGATTGAAAGGATCAAGATCAGTCCACAACTTTCTGGTTTGCAAAGTCAAGAATCATGACATTGTACAATGCAAATCCCCCAACTCCATACATTCAAATCTTTCCTCAGTGTTGCCCTGGCTGCTTCTGATTAACAAATATAGACATTAACATCAATAATCTGTTGTGTTCTGATTGTTCTTATACAGTCATGTATCATGACAACAATATTGACGTGTACTCCCTTGGTTCAAGCACTTAAAATTGAAACTAAATAATGAATCAAAGATTTCCTGGACTCCCAAAGAGAGCAGATTCTACCTTACAAATGACTTGTACACCCTTGCTATTCATAATGCTTCTGAATAATTACACATTGGCACAATCATGCTTATGTTGTCCACTAATTATAGTATTTCTCGTGATTCAATGTAGGTAGAATTTACCATAGTCTGCAAGCTTTCTTGAATATTCATATTCATCAATATTGTAGTAAGGACAGAGAATTGGCAACCTTAAAAACACTATATATAATATCATACTTTTGTCACTGCTGGTTAATAAGTAAGCAATGCTCAAATCATAATTAATAATTTACTTATCATTAATAATTAGACAGAGGAATGTTAGAGATTATATAATTATATGATTAGTACAATTAACAGTAATTTCAATGCACTACATTGTAGCATTGTCAAGTACAATGTATGACTAAATAAGTTAGCATTGTTAGTCAATAAGTTAGCAATTAGTTAATACCAAACTTATCAAATTTCGGGCAGACCTTGGTCCGTTTCCATGGGAACCTCCTCCTCCACCTCGACCTCTGCGACCTCCTCCTCCTGCTTAATTTCCTCCTTCAGCTCCTCCTCTACTACTTCTTCCTTGGATCCCTCCTCCTCCTCCATAATTTCATCTTCTGCATCTTTTCCTTCCTCCTCTGCGATTTCCTCGTCTTCAGACTCCGGCGGGGTGTACTGCTGATCCTTAGCTTCATCTTTGGCACATAATGAGACACGGGGTTTGGCACACTATTTCCTTTCTTTGGCCAGTTTTTGCAAAGTGTTCATGAATGTGTTTTTGTGTTTTGTCTTTGTTTTGTGGTGGAGACCATTTTGTATGTGTTGGGAACCGATGTATGTCATACATGTATGTGTGTGTGTTTGTGTGTGTGTGTTTCTGGATAGTATTCAGTACTAAGGACAGGCATAGTGTGTGTGTGTGTGTGTGTATCTGGATAATATTCAGTACTAAGGACAGGCATGTTAACACAAGTGTGTGTGTGTGTTTGTGAGTGTGTGTGCATGTGTATGCAGATATGGGCATGAATAGCATTCAGCACCAAGGACAGGCACATTTACGTGAGTGTATGTGTATCTGGATAGTGTTCAGTACCAAGGACAGGCATATTTACATATGTGTGTGTGGATAGCATTCAGTACCAAGGACAGGCATATTTATATATGTGTGTGTATCTGGATAGCCTTCAGTACCAAGGACAAGCATGTTAACATGAGTGTGAGTTTATCTGGATAGCGCTCAGTACCAAGGACAGGCATGTTTACACGAGTGTGTGTGTGAGTGTGACTGTGTGTGTGTGTGTGTGTGTGTATCTGGTTAGCATTCAGTACCAAGGACAGGTATGTTGACATGTGTGTGTGTTTATCTGGATAGTGTTCAGTACCAAGGACAGGCATGTTTACATGAGTGTGAGTGTATGTATATTGGATAGCATTTAGTACCAAGGACAGGCATGTTTACGTGAGTGTATGTGTGAGTGTGACTGTGTGTGTGTGTTTGAGTGAGTTGGTTCTCTTTCTGATTTTCTTTCCTTTAACAGGACCGAATCCTTACATTACCTTTTTATCTAAGTGGCACTTAGAATGTGATGAACTGATGTTCAAAATTAGTTTTAACAAGAAAACACTCAGCTTCTCTTGTCATCTAATTTAATACTAGTGTGATGAAGTTCTACAAATAGATTGTTTTAAATTTTTCATGAAATCAATTAAATTTGTAAAAATTATCACTTAGATTAATCACTACCTATTAGATCTACTTAAACCTAAAAAGTTTCAAATTGATAACTTTTATTCCAAACAGTTTTTCAAACAATGTAGTAACTGTTATACTTCAGTTATATTTCAAAAGATTAAGAAAACAACATGTTTTGCTACTTTCACTTTGCAATTGATACTATAAACATGATTGGAGATTGAAAATTTTCTTTTCCTTTCTCAGTGACCTCCTATCTTTAAGGTGTGAAGTAACTCCTTCAACCTTCGAGCCTCGTCTTCCGTTCCTGACTCAACCTCAGTTCCTTCTGGGTCAAATTCTGTCTCACTCTCTGACAAATCTTGAGAAAGATACGTCTTCAAAGCTTCATCTAGAGTATCTGACATTTCTTCTGTGTCTTCACTCTCAGACAATAGAGTTGTTCTTTTTGTCAAATTTTTGCCTGCTGTAGTTTGTTTATTTGTTGTTTCATCGTTCCCTACAATCATCTGTTTACTTGGACCATCTTCAATCAAAATATTGTTCGTGACGTCTGAGTTTTGTTCTGGTACGTCGGCCAAAACAGCACTATCCAAACCGAAATGCTCTGAACTTTCGGTTTGACCGTAAACAACTTCAAGGTCGTCTGACTGTTGTTCCTTATGCCCTGCCCTTGAGTCAAGGTCAGATTCTATCTCAGTTTCCGACAGCTCTTGTGACAGGTATGTCTTTAAGGCATGGTCAATAGTATCTGAGGAGTCTGAGGAGTCATAGTCAAGTTCGGCCGACAAGTCACTCTTAGAATCATGGGGGCTTGTCAGCGTGTCATTTGTTCCATTGTCTGTTCTGTCAGCCATTATGACCTCTGGATTGTGATCTACAGTACCTTGAAGGTCATCACCAAAAAGAGCACTTTGTTCATCACAGTCTGTGTCATTTCTAGGCTCATTATTGAAACCTTCCAAAGAAATTTCAGCATCTGTTGTGAAGTGTGTTTCTGTGTTTTGCTCGTTTTCTGCTAGATGCAAATTGTCTATCATTTCTACCCTAGCCATTTTGACCCTTGACTGTGGTTCTGGTTCTGAGTCAGAGAATGATGTGTATGAGTCAGTGTGGGTTGTGGTGTCAGTGTGGGTTTCAGTGTGTGTCTCAGAGACAGTTTCATGGTCTTGCAAGACGTCTTGTGTAGTTTTACGCAAGTCGGTAAGACTGCTGATTGAATAGGAGGGTGTGTGACGTGTGTTTGAGCTTTGATTGACATCTGTCAATGTGAGGCTGTCAGTTTCAGAGTCTGTCAACTGTGTCACATCCGTCAAGTCAGAGGCAGCCATGTTTGTCAAGGTCGTCGGGTTGTCCCCCTCAAGGTCAGAGGAAACTTTGTTCACCTGCATTTCTGCAGCGTGACCCCTCTTGAACTCTGACCTTTGGGACTGGAGGTCAGTCCAAGTGTTTGTCGTTACGTAAGTCAGTCGATCGTCGTAACAGTTACTGTCATTGTCAGTCTGTTGCATGTTGGTCAGTTGTGTCATACTTGTCCTCTCTTGTAAAAATATAAAGAACTTTATGTAAAAATTCAAATGATCAACAACTGCAATAAACCAATAAAAACATGGAATAAAATCTACTAAAAGTTTAAATATATGAATTTAATATGCATCCCAAAAATGCATGCATGATATTTCAGAAAGAGCAACTATTAGAGCTAGAATAGACAGGGACATACATGTATCTATCGATGAATGCTTCTACATTGTATTGTTGCAAAAGGGAAATCATTACATTCTTCACGTACATTTGTAATTCAATGTACATTTTGTGTACTCAATTTTAGGTTGTAAAATATTGAAAGACAAAGAAGTCACTTTGATTATACTGATAAATTTGGAACAAAGATTGGATATTAATCTGCATCCAAAATTATTATCTTTCTCCATGGAAATGGCTTGTATTTTCCCTGTGCATCATATTTATATTTTTAGTATCAGTTTTCATAATGATAATGGCAAATCATGTTTTGTTTGTTGAACAGTAGGCCAAAATCTCAAGATGGATTATTAGATCATGTAACTTAAGACTTACCTTCTTTCTTAGAACTCTCTCCAGACTCTTCACTTTCCTTTTCTGTCTCTCCTTCTTCTTCAAAGTCTTCCTCGTAATTATCAGTCTCTGCAAAAGTAATTCAAGCAAAAAATTGTCATCATTAATGATATCGAAGACCACTGTTGATTTTAAGGACCCTCACCAAGAGTTTGGAATGGCTATACCACAAAAATCCACCTTTGAACTTTCACCTGTTACAAAACATAGATAACACTGGTCACTTATGACTTGGAAACGGAAATAAACCTATGAAATTATGAAATGAAATTTGCTTTGAATCTAAATACATGCATCCAATATGTAGTCAAAAATGCATGCATAAGATCATAAACATTAAAGACATTGCTCTTAAACTTTAAGAAAAATGTGTTAGAAAACCTATGTGCTTCACCTTATTTTTCACAATAAAGATGTGATATTTTATGCCAATCATGTTTCCAAATCTATAGTGACCAGTGTTTTAGCCTTTTAACCCTATCCCAGTATCCATTCTTCCATGTAAGAAACCAACAGGTACCCCTGGTGCTGAGACTAAGAAAAAACATGTTAAGAATGTGCATTGAACAAAAAAGGACTTAATGATTATTATAAAACCCTGTTGAGGGTCTGGAAACAGACTGAGGAATTAGGGTGGATGTTGGAAAATTCTACTCAGTGCAGAACACCGGAGGGTAAATCTGTAAACCTTCAGTTTTCTCTTCTGCTGTTTCTTTAACCTCATCTTCGATGTCCATCTTTGTATCATCATCATCATCATCAGCTGGCTGTTCTGTTGGGGTGGGGCCATCGCTATGGAAACCATCACTATGGAAACCATCCTCAGCGACCTCGATGCCATCTGCTATAATTTCATCGATGACGGAAGCTTCGTTTGAACTTTTCTCTTCCTCAGGGTTTCGGATTTCTTCAACCTCGACAATGCTTTCCGCATCTTCTCCCATCATGCTTTGTGCTTCGTTACCATGATGCACTTCGACCTCCACTACTGACTGACTTCTTCCAGAGGACGGACGTTTGGGCTCAGTTGCAAGTTCTTCTGGGATTGAATGGCCACCAACATCACTGGAACTCTCCCTTCCCATCATGCTCTGAGTGTCTTCTCCCACAATGCTTTGCTTCTCTGATCCCATAGTGCTTTGCTTCTCCTCCCTTGGGGTCGGACTCTGGACTGCTTCCATTGGTTCAGGAGGTTTAGACTCGGCTGGTTTGACACTTTGATCTACAGATGTTGACTTTTGGCTCTGATCTATGGCATTTGGTTGCTTTCTGCTTCCCTCTGTTTTCTCTGTGCTTGTGTGGGAAGCTGCACTCTGAAGGTCAAACGTCAGCTTTCTGTCACTGTGTCCCTGTTTTTCAGGGGCTGCACGCGACGTGCGAGGATGAAATATTGACAACAAGGATTAGAATTCAAAGCAGATATGAAAAACATACGATCTGTGAAGAAGATTTGTACTGAAAATAAGACCAGCATGTCTCTTACAATACCCACCACCTGAAAGCAAAATAATGCAAAATATGATCTAATCAGAGATGCAAATGTAGCATCTCATTCTTGCACATTTTCTGCAATAACCTGAGCCAAGTTGTGAGTGTGATTTGAGACACATCAAATCAACTCTTTTTTGGACAAAATTTATCACTAAGGACAGACCTGTTTGCCTGTTTGTGGATGATACTTAGCACTAAGGATGTTTCTTTTTATTAACTTGACAGTCTTACGACACCTGGCAGAATTGTTAAGATAAGCATTTGAAGACTTAAAAGATAACCCACCTGTCTCTTCCTTGCTCTTCTTCTTCCCTTTTGGAGGTCGTGGCTGACGCGGTACACCTTCAGCTGCCTGACACCTGCAACAACATTCAACAATATTGTCTCTTGATTTATTTCATATCTGATTTGCTTGTCTATTTTGTAGTTTAACATCTGTGTCCATAATATCACCAGGGTCCATCTTTTCCCTGCATGGGTGGAAACTGGCGGGCAACCAAAATTGAATAATATGGTATGAACCATATAAAAATAAAAATCGTGAATTACAGTATAACATCTGTGTCCATAATATCACCAGGGTCCATAATATCGCCACCTTGAGAAACAGTGTGCTTAAAGATATTTTTACTGCAACATACTATAGATATGTACATTTGAGGTGTGCAGGAGTGCATACCAGAAGTATGTTGCAGTAAAAATATCTTTAAGCACACTTTTTCTCAAGGTGGCGATAGTATGGACCCTGGTGATATTATGGACACAGATGCTAATACTGTAATGTCTATTCACGATTTTTTGTTTATATGGTCACAGTTTATCATAACTGTGAACAAATATTCTATATCGTGCAAATGACACATTATAGATAATATTTCAATTATAGAGTACATTGAAATAGAACATGTTATTCAATTTCGGTTGCCCGCCAGTCTCCACCCATGCAGGGAAAAAGGGGGTCTTTTACACTTGGCAACAAACACGACATGTACAATCAAGGACATTATATAGAGCAAGGCCACGGTCTGTGTAACATCCTTGTATATAGAGACATTGATGGATTTTCCCAAAGAAATTCTACATATGGCACAGCCAAGGAAATGATAGGGAAACTTACAATGGGTTCTTTCAGGCTATCATACTATCCATTCTGTACACGTTTCGCTGTTACTGTGAGCATTTGGCAAGGTTGGCAGAACTTTTGTATCTCAAAAGGGGACCCCCAAGTGCGAGCTGTTGAATGATTTAAAGATTAATAATGTGGAGTCTGCGTAACTGGACGATGTTGATAAAGATAAACAAATTCAAGTCCAACCACCCACTGAGCCTGGTATCGCTGCCAATCTGTACAGCCCCTGCAGTTGACAAGCTCACAGTCCTACGAGCAAGTCGAGCTTTTCAAAATGGCTCAGATAGGGCTATTTTCAGTAACCCTTGTCGTCTGTAGCTTGCTGTACAACGGCGTATCATCAGCGGTGGAAGAGAAAAATGAAGAGGGACTCTGTTCCCGACAGCTCAACAACAACCAGAACATCACGGTTGTGGCAGCGCCCGGGCCCGTTGGACCAAAAGGGGACATGGGGCCGAAAGGTATGAAAATGACAACTACAGCAACCATGGCCTGGTATCCTTACCATGCATGGGAACCTCCCCTGTATCTGTAAGGCAAGGAGTGTTCCATCGATTTACCAGTTTGTACGTTCGCAGGTCCCGCCGGTAC